TTGTTGAAGATGTGTTGGGCCTGACGAACCTCAGTGGACACACAAGGGGGCAAGACATTTATAAAGCAATAATGGGAATGCTGAATGAAAGAGGGTGCAGCTGCCTTTATTCATAACTGTGCAGCTCTTACACTGCGACTCTGAGGGGTCAAGCACAGACACAATAACAATGAAAACGGCTGCATACAGATTATTTTTGTTTTTGCAACCTCGTGTTAAGAATCTTGTTGCAATTGTTTAAAAGTTTGAATGACCGTAATAAACGGACCTTTGTCTTATTGAAACATTTATTTTGGACCTTTAAGATTTGTATTTGAGTACCCCTGCTATACAGCAATCAAAACCAGCAAAGCATCAAAAGAAAGCACAGAAGTATTAAGACACAGCACCAGTGTTTCCAGGGTTGCCAACTCTCACGCATCTGGCGCTCTCAATCTCACGCTGCCCAAACTATTCTCACACCAAAAACAAGATGAACCGGCGATCGTTTTTGGTTGGTTATTTACAATGTTGAGTTGACAGCTGCTCAAGCTGTGGATCCGCTCCCTCCCCGCCCCCACCACTCTTAACAACGCTAACAGACAGCAGAGCAGTGGGAGCCGGTTGGTCAAGCCCCGACCCGTATTGCGCATGCGCAGATCTAAGATCCAGTAGAAATTATAACAAGTAAAAGTCTGCTCCTTATTGTTCTACTAGGCCAACATAGATTCAGAGTGTATGAGAGTGAGAGTGTGTTAATTAATATATTTGGCAGTTTGGAGTAAGTCTGTAGATTTGTTTGTGTGTGTGTGTTTCATGTATAGGCCTCTCACGATAATTAATTTTGTTGGATACATTTTCCCGGAAATTATTGCGATAAACGATAATATTGTCGGCACCGTTGTATGACCATTTTAGACCACCGACATAATGGTAATATATAATAATAGTTCAAGTACATCCTTTCAAACTGCTAGTCACATCCTCATGTAAATGTATCGAGGTCAGAAAAGTTATCGAGTTAATTTTTATTTATCGTACGATAAGTCAATTAATTGCTTATCGCGACAGGCACATAATATAACAGTGGAAACAAACATGTGTTTGACTTTCATTAGTGAATGAAACTTTATGCCCTTTATATTCTGTGTCCAATATTGTGTATTTGTATATATTGTATATATATCCTATATATATGCTAAGGTCCCGCTGCTGACACGATAGCAGTCATTTAGTGCATTATGTGTAATTAAACCCATGATATCAAAATCTCACTCCAGCCAGGTACCCCAAGTTGGCAACCCTGGTGTTTCGCTGCTCCACCAGCTTGGAGACACACACACCTCACACAGATAGCTTCTAAAAGTGCTAGCTCATTAAATGTTAGCACCTCTTCTGCTCATCAGCATGCCGGCTGTAGACACACAGAGAGAGAAAGGTCTGAGATATTAGTCTGGGGAAGTGCTAATGACTCAGTGACTCCTCTCTCAGATGTTCAGGCTGCCATGAAACTGAAATCCCGGCTCACACGTCAGCACGCTAGCCGGGTATGGTTGTGTTAATCAGTTTAATAACCAGCAGGAATGTGTTGAAGAGCTGCAGGACTTCTCTGCTCTCTCCTCTCTCCTGCGCTGCTGTAATTGCGAGGAGAGTTTGACAGTTATAGGCTCGTCATCTCGCAGTGTAATGGAGGGATAAATCCACAGGGAAATCAAGGCCAACCTCTGCTACCGGTTCAGCTCGGCGGTGCAGAGAAACTGGGCTCTGCTCATAAATCAATCTAATGCAGCCCTGCCATCACATCCATCTTCAAAAAGCTCATTATGTTCATGTTTTGGGTAAATCTAAATTATATTAGGTTCAAATAAGTGGAGAAAGAACAATTCAGACCCTTACTTTAGTAAAAGTACTGATACATAAACATCAAAATACTCCATTATAAGTCCTAAGAAGAAGTGTTATTGGCAAATTATAGTTGAAGAATCCAAAGTAAAAGTATTATTCTGCAGAGAGTTGCCCCTCTATATTATATATCATTATTAGATACATGGCTCTATATGATTGTTAAAATATGGTTCCATCAAGGAGCGTTTCACTACAACAAAGTTCAAATACACAATTATTAATATTTACACGTTTATTTAATTATTCAGATTTGAAGTAAATGCTGTTGTGCAGAATGTCTTTGCAGAGGTTGTGTATCCCTTTGTGGTTGTTTTGTGTTCGTGAATGTGTCAATTTACGCATCGTTATGGTCTCTTTGGGTCTCTTCCATCTTTTTGTGTCTCTTTTTGATCTGATTGGATTTCATTTTAATCTATTTTGGGTTTTTCTTGTCTTATGGGGTCTCTTTTTGGTCTTTTGGGGTCTTTTCATGATTCCATCCACTAGTGCTTACCCTATAGGCTACCTTTCTGTTTCCACTGTATGGTCAAACCTAACGATGCTAATAATGGTCATGGAGAAATCAGAGCCATTGCTATCCACCAATTTCAGTTTGTGAGAGTGCCTGAGCTGCTGGACATAATCTCTATTGGTTTTATCTGTTGGATAGTGAAAGAGATTACATTCTGATCGATTGATAGAAAGATAACATGTACAAAAACGCCAAAGGAAGCAGAACATGGGTCAATAGATAGATAGATAGATGGATGGATGTGCGTGAGTGCACATATAGTGAATCTGACATTACTGAGAGAAAAACCACCAGAAGAAGGAAAGCTATTTATATTCATCTCCTTCCCTGTGGTATATAAATGCTGATACGCACTTAGTTTCTACAGCACTGTGATGGTTTAAAGTGGGAGCAGACACGTGTTTTAGTTTGTTATTTTAGTGTAATGGTTAAATACACAATGCTATAAGACAACATTAGATTGGTACATTATCAGTCAATTGTGTCACCAGCCTGAATTAAAGATGGTGCTTCAACCATTGCGCAACCGAAACAGATAGATATTTTTTTCAAGAAGAAGATGAAGAAGAAAATAGTCTTCCTCTCATCAATTTCTGATATAAGAAATGTAGCATATAAAGTATCAACAATTATAAATTGCCTTAAAGATTCGTAGTCAACTAAGACCCAAACGACCAATAAGTCAACATATGAGCTAAGGGGACGCAGCTTTCCATTTGATTGTGACCCAGTGCATCTAAGAATATCACAGAACAACAGCAAGAAGCACAGTCAGTCCTTTATTATGCTAATTGTTTAGTATGTGCTCCACATAATTAGCATCAGAACGTCAGCATTCCAGAATCAGATCACAGTTTAATCCCCACATATACATATTCAATGCACATATATACTGTAGAGAATAGTGTTTTTCCATCATCGTTGAAGGATTGTGATATACTGCTGCCTTTCAATAACAGTTTAATGTAGGGTTAGGGGTATATAGCCCCTTGCAATAAAGTACCGCAGCTCACACTGATAATAAATTACAATAATAACACTGGAATTCACAGTAGTTGCGAGGGCTAAGATATTAAATTGGTGGTGACATCAATAGAGATTTTGTTGTTGCATATTGGCGTTTTTTACCTGTACAACATACTAGTCCACAGAAAGTGCCTTGTTGTGTACAGAATCCCAAAAGTACTCCACCAAATAAAGATTATAAAGCCTGCATGCTGTTGCAGATGTTGCATCACAGCACCACTCTGTAGACTGATGGGTGTAGTTGTTAAAATAACAAATATCCTACAACTTTGATCCAAAGTCAATGTCACTTTCTCTCTAACAGTGGTGTAAATGTCATGGTGGTGTGTGTGTGTGTGTGTGTGTGTGTGTGTGTGTGTGTGTGTGTGTGTGTGTGTGTGTGTGTGTGTGTGTGTGTGTGTGTGTGTGTGTGTGTGTGTGTGTGTGTGTGTGTGTGTGTGTGTGTGTGTGTGTGTGTGTGTGTGTGTGTGTGTGTGTGTAGTGTTGGTACCGGATCGTGTCTATCTTTGTATAATTTCAATAGAAAGACGATTATATTATGTATTATGTGACTGTGGCTGCGAGGGAGTGCGGTCGTCTTTGAACCAAAAGGTTGTTGGTTTGATCCCAGCCTGTAGTGCCTTCAACATGTCGATGTGTCCTTGGAGAAGATACTGAACCCTAAGTTGCTCCTGATGGCCAACGATGTGTGTGTGTTTGTGTATGTGTGCGTGTGTGTGTGTGTGTGTGTGTGTGTGTGTGTGTGTGTGTGTGTGAGCATGTGTGTGTGAGTGTGTGTGTGTGAGCGTGAGTGTGTGTGAATGTTAGCTTCCTAGAGCAAGTGGTACTGCTCTGTATGAATGAGGTGTGAATGGATGAATGACTTGTACTATGTAAAGAGCTTTGAGGGGTCGTAAAGACTGGATGAAGCGCTGTATAAGTACGGTTCATTTACCAGTCCATACTGAATAAAGAATAACGTTTAAAAAACCCACCCAACTCAGGGAACAGTGTGAAACTTTAAATCATAATAATAATAACTTAGATTTGATATAGCGCCTTTCAGGGGACCGAAGCTCGCTTTACAGAAAAACAGGAGAAAAACAGCAGATAAACTAAGGTGGCAAATGGGTGGGACTTGAGGGCCTCTGGGGGTGAGGAGGAGGATTTTGTAGGAAATGCGGGACTTGACCGGCAGCCAGTGGAGGTGGATGAGGGCGTCAGGGTTTCAGACCCCTGTTCCTGGAGATTAAATACACTTTAATTCCCCTCTCTTTTCTCTGCAGTGCTTTTCAGCGACAAAGGGGGCAACATGGCTCTTTTGATAGCAGTAAAGGTAGCAGACCCCTGCTCTAGGAGATTAAATAAACTTGAATTCAAAGTCAACTTTATTGTCAATCTTTCAGTTTGTGTGTACAGACAGAGAGATCAAAATACTGTTTCCCATAATCCCAAATACAAAAACAGATATATATATAATATGTTTAGTGTCTGAGTGTGTGGGGTAAAATGTATCTTTTGACAGTAACGGTTGCATACCCCTATTCTAGAAGATGAAATAAACTTTAATTCCCCCTCTCTTCTTCTCGTTGCTCTGCAGTGCCTTTCCGCGAGGCTCCCTCCTACTCTAAGCGGCGCCGCGGTCAGTCGTCTGGCGGGAACGACCTCTCGCCCTCGTCCTTATCGGCGCCACGGGTCCTCCTGCGCTCCAACAGCGACAACAACCTGAACGTCAGTCAGTACCAGCAGCAGCAGCAGCAGCACGGCTCCTCTGTTACCTGGGCCCCCCCCCACCTGCAGCCCCCCCCCTCCCACAGGGGCCCCACCCAGCCTGGTGGCCCCCCCTCTCTTCACCGCAGCCTGTCTCCCCAGCTGCTCCAGCAGATGCCCAGCAGCCCCAATGGGAACGTGGTGGTGCGGACGATGGGGCGGGGGGCGAGGAGCCGGTCTCCCTCCCTCAGCCGGCTGGGGGAGGAGGCCCGGAGGGGGGGGGCGCCCGTACAGAGGCAGCAGCCCAGGTGAGACACTCTGGGGCGGGAGAAGAGTGTAAGGGGTGTGTGTGTTTGAGTGTGTGCGGGGAGTCCATTTCTTATAGCATTTCCTTGTTTTCACTGAATTACCATAACAAAAGTCCACATTTGAGTAGAACGTGTATGGTGTGTGTGTGTGTGTGTGTGTGTGTGTGTGTGTGTGTGTGTGTGTGTGTGTGTGTGTGTGTGTGTGTGTGTGTGTGTGTGTGTGTGCGTGCGCATGCGCGTGCGCGTGCGTGTGTGTGTGTGTCTGTGTGTAGTAGTAGTAGTAGTAGTAGTAGTAGTAGTAGTAGCAGCAGCAGTAGTAGTAGTAGTAGAGGTAGTAGTAGTAGAAGTAGTAGTAGTAGTAGTAGTAGTAGTAGTAGTAGTAGTAGTAGTAGCAGCAGCAGTAGTAGTATAGTAGTAGGTAGTAGTAGTAGAAGTAGTAGTAGTAGCAGTAGTAGTAGTAGTAGTAGTAGTAGTAGTAGCAGCAGCAGTAGTAGTAGTAGTAGTAGCGGTAGTAGTAGTAGCAGTAGTAGTAGTAGTAGTAGTAGTAGTAGTAGCAGCAGCAGTAGTAGTAGTAGTAGTAGTAGTAGTAGTAGTAGTAGAAGTAGTAGTAGTAGTAGTAGTAGTAGTAGTAGTAGTAGTAGTAGTAGTAGTAGTAGTAGAAGTAGTAGTAGTAGTAGTAGTAGTAGTAGTATAGTAGTAGTAAGTAGAAGTAGTAGTAGTAGCACAGTAGTAGTAGTAGTGAAGTAGTAGTATAGCAGTAGTAGAAGTGTAGTAGTATAGTGGTGTGGTAGTAGTGTAGTAGTAGTGTAGTAGTATGTAGTAGTAGTAGTAGTAGAGTAGTAGTAGTAGTGGAGTAGTAGTAGTAGAAGTAGTAGTAGTAAGTAGTAGAAGTAGTAGTAGTAGTAGTAGTAGTAGTAGTAGAGTAGTAGTAGTAGTAGTAGTAGTAGTATAGTAGTAGTAGTAGTAGAAGTAGTAGTAGTAGTAGTAGTAGTAGTAGTAGAAGTGTAGTAGTAGTAGTAGTATAGTAGTAGTAGTAGTAGTAGTAGTAGTAGTAGTAGTAGTAGTAGAAGTAGTAGTAGTAGTAGTAGTATAGTTAGTAGTAGTAGTAGAAGTAGTAGTCGTAGTAGTAGAAGTAGTAGTAGTAGCAGTAGTAGTAGTAGTAGTAGTAGTAGTAGTAGTAGTAGTAGTAGTAGCAGTAGCAGCAGCAGAACCTTTATTTAACCAGGAAAATCAATTAAGAACAAATTCTTATTTACAATGATGACCTGACAGGAGGCAAAGGCTTCCTGAGGGGATGGGGTTTGGGAGGAAAAAAGACAGACTCCGGGCACTACAGAACCCAGGAGACAACACAAACACATAGAGCAAAGATGACAGAAATAGCAGTTACACATATAAAAACTCTAAAACAATATTGCTGTGGTTCAATCAGTCATTACAATCAGCATCAGGCGAAGCAGCTACATGTGTGGTTACAGTGACTGAGTATTATTATTCATCTGGGGAGGATTTGAGTTTCATTGCTCCATTTTAGAGTTAAAATATAAATAAATAAAAAATAGAATTAATAACTAAAGATATGTATATAAATAAAATAAAAGAGAAAATAAAATATTTAAAAAACGTAGTAGTTAAGTAGTTAAGATAAAAAGATAAGATTGTGAAAGAAAATAAGAAATATATATATTTACATGTATAGAAATATCCAAGTAGAATAGAAATAATAATATAAAAGTAAAATGTTCAATGAAGGATAAAAAAAAATACAAACATATTTATATTAACATACAAAAAATAAAAGGTTCAATAGAAGAGAAAAAAATAGAATACAAAAATGTGTACCATTGTAAGAAGTTAAAGTGAAATTATTCATTATTTGCTAAATGTTATTTCTCTCTTGCATGAATTACTCACAAAGTATTTGTCTGTGGGGATTTTCTTCTGTTGTTTATTTTCACAAGCTCCAGGCGGACTAACCGGGTCAGAGGCGTTCACATGACTCAGAAATATGTCTCTGTCAATATGTTGACTGTTGAGTTCCAGCACAGCTGTGATCTGGTCAGGGCGAGGGATTCACTTGTTATATTTAGGACGTCATCACCATCACATCTACACACAGATACTTTCCTCTCTGGTGGAAATCAACGGCATAAAGTCACTCTTTCAGACCTCTGCATGTTTGACAAGGTTGAAGGGTCCTTAAAAGAAGGATGAGCTCGCCCAAATATAACAAATGGTGGAGTGCTATCCTCCATCTATCTATCTATCTATCTATCTATCTATCTATCTATCTATCTATCCATCCATCCATCTATCTATCTATCTATCTAATCTGTCTATCCATCTATCTATCTATCCATCTATCTATCTATCTATCCATCTATCTATCTATCCATCTATCTATCTATCTATCTATCTATCTATCTATCTATCTATCTAATCCATCTATCTATCTATCTATCTATCTAATCTATCCATCTATCTATCTGTCTATCCATCTATCTATCTGTCTATCCATCTATCCATCTAGTAATTATAAAAACATTGTTGACATGCTTTTTTTTAAGCAAACCGACTGCTCTCATACAGCCAGCAATTCCTCACCAAACATTGCTGTAAAAAAAATAGTTTCTCTGCTCAAAAACAGTTATAACCTATTAACAGTTCAATCAAAAGCTTAAAAACAGCTTATTGTGCAAGTAAAGGTTGATAAACATGTTGAAGCTATGCAAAGTTATAGCAATTACGCTCTAACCAGAACACATGCAAACATCGTCAGGTATAGATAGACAACAACCGTGGTACAACAGGGCAGAAAATACAGAGAAAAGAGGCAAACTGACTTTGAAAACAAGAACGATAAGGACATCTGGAAATGGGCTGAAATGTGCCACTGACAAAAGCGTCTCAAAAACAAAAGAAAGAAAGTGGTCAACAACTTATTAACTTACATTATATGGCAATAAGTGAGCGCCCTATAGATCTTACAAAGCCAAACGTGACGACATTCTGGACGCCATATTGTTTTTCAGAGCGAGGCTTCGTTGGCTCCCAGTTTGATCATTCAGTACATTATTCACCTCACTGTATACAGTATACATTATAATCCACCATCCCCCCCCCCCCCCCCCCCACTCCCAGTGTGAGAGGATGTATGACTGGTTCCTCTGGGAAACACGCCATCCAAAAGAAAAACACTCGCTTCTTACTGTAGCTACGGCAACCGTTGCTATGGGTGCCTACAAGACACTTTTGCAAATGCGTGCAAGTTCTGCATGTGAGCGGTGTGTACGTTTCATGTGCCTGCTTTATTATTGATGCACCTAACTTTAACCCAGTGTGTGTGTGTGTGTGTGTGTGTGTGTGTGTGTGTGTGTGTGTGTGTGTGTGTGTGTGTGTGTGTGTGTGTGTGTGTGTGTGTGTGTGTGTGTGTGTGTGTGTGTGTGTGTGTGTGTGTGTGTGTGTGTGTGTGTGTGTGTGTGTGTGTGTGTGTGTCAGCCTCCACCTGACTGCGTTCATTCAGAAAATGCCTGTATGCACATGTGATTGGCGGGGGATTAAAGTGCTACGGGCGTTTATCTCGGAGCGATGTTACTGTCAATCCCGATTAAGACACATGCTCTCTGGCCTCTTCCTCTTCCTCTCTTACCTCCTCCTCTTCCTCCTCCTCCTCTTCCTTGGCAGATGGACACATTTTGCTGCACCAACACTTCCCACACTGTGTAGCTCTGCCGCGTCCAAAGTCGAGGAGATGCACATTATAGAAAAGATGTGAAGATGAAGAGGTAGAATTAGCAGGATGAAGAGGAGGAGGAGGAAGAGGAGGAGGAGGAGGAGAGAATAAAACACAGATTGAGGGGTTTGCAGAGAGGGTGAAGGGAAGACAAGTGATGGAGGAGATAAAAGAACAGGCCGGAGTAACGGGGGAGGACAGTTGCCTTTGCTTCAGCAGTAACATGAACATCACTATCATGTCATCTGACATATTTCACCGAAAAAAAGATCTCGCTTTTAGAGAGGGAGAGAGTTTGATCGTCAGCAGAGGAGAGGCTTCTGCGGTTTGGAACAGAAACTCTTTCCCCATGTTCAATCTGAGGAGCTTTACCTGTACTCTGTTGTTGTTTCTTGATTATAAGATTTGCATCAGTAACTTTGATTTAACAAACAATTGGCTATTAGACTATCACAGGGGTTCCCAACCTTTTTTCCCAAGAGCCCCCCCAAATGACTCCTGTTGGAAGTTGCGCCCCCCCCACACACACACAAGGGGGGGGGGGGGAGGCGCAACAGCGGTAATTAAACTTTAAAGTGTCAAAAATGCTACAACTACTGTCACAAACTGGGTGAATGTGAAGTATTTTGTTAAAGGAGGATGAAAGCGTGATTAAGGAGCACTATTGGAGTGACTTTGATGGTTATTGGACTCAGGATTAATTCATTTGGATTCCCGCTGTATGAAGAAATGAAAGGACGGCGCAAGTGGAAACAATTCACAAAGGAAACTGTTTAAAACACATGCTCAAAGTAAGCCGGATTTTGCCGATGTGTTTATGTGGATTCAAAAGTCGTAAATAATCTACAAAATGGAGGAGACCGATCTGATCGGAGCAACTGTGACAAATAATCCAACTGAAACCGGCATGGACAATGACTATGTTTTATGTTTGCCCCCCCTGCGATCTTTGGCGCCCCCCAGGTTAGGAACCACTGGCCTATCAGGCGCTTGCAAACACGTTGGTAAGGATCAATATCTCTGTGATGAATGAATGGACAATCATAGACTGTACTTAGTGGACAGAGTCAACATGACACAACCCATCTGTTTGTGGTTTTGAAGCCTTACGTTCAACCTGATATCACGGCAAGACGTGAACATGTGACGATTTACCATGCTGGGAGACGTGAAGATGTCACGATTTCGTCCCTTCAAACGTGACAGTTACACGGTATTGTTAACCCATGTTAACCAGTGGAGAAATAACCGGAAATGCCAAGCAAATGCTACCCCGACGGTCGGTTGTTATTGTCAATATTAATATAATAATGATTTATTTTTTAATAGTCACACTCGATTAAGCCGATGTTCTTGTTGCCCCAGCTGGTCGACACCTCTTTTAGCAGAAACAAAGGCTACATTAATGTATTAAATCGATGTTAATCCATGCGTGTGGATGTGGAATTAACGGACGTGACGTTGTGCGATTGCGTTGCCAGGCAACAGCTTCGGTTCATGTTAATTTACAAACTATTCAACTACAACCGTAGTTATATTTAAAAACATGTTAGAAGGCCTCACGAAATACTTTAATGCAAATTAAAATGTAAATGTGAAGAAATGTGTGTATAACAAAATACATCCGTCATAAACGAAACCGGAAACAGACGTAGGCAAGATCCTCAGCTCGATGATTGGATGGTTTAGCCGCAATGCATGCTGGGATTTGTTGTTTATGTGATGTGAAATCTGAAAACGTTTTTTAAAAATAAAATAATACTTTATTCCGAGTGTGCTTCCTTTTCTCTTTGAAAGTCATCACATAACGGCATTGTAATACACGGTTCGGCTGCATTAAATATTACATATCTGCCGTAGTTCTGTATTTATAGAGCCCTGCTGAGAAGACTTCTAGACAAACATGAGGAACTGAAAACGTGACGTGGATCATAAATATATAAGCAATTAAACAACATCTTACATTTATTTTCACACAATACGTCTCCTTGCAGTATCAACACTAATTCGGCTGACTTTTATATTTGATCCAATTGGTAGATAGGCTGTATTTACACCATAAAGGTGCACAGCTGATATAAAGGGACACATAGTGGTTAAAGCACGTTATTGAATTTATTATTTTATAATAAAAACATGATTTTTGTCTAAAGGAGCATTTTTATCTTAATTTAAAATGATGTTAAATGACCTAAACAGACAGGAAGTGTACCTACTTAGTATTATAATCCATTATCAAGTTCAGATTCAGATTGAGATAACATTATGTTCATTCAATTGACATAAAATGGTAATTTGTCTTTGCCACTGACACTCACCAGAAATTGTATTACATTAAAAAGTCTAAAATGTACCTAGTGGCAGTCATAAGTGCAGACATTATACTCATAAATATTAATAAAAATAAAGTCATAAATATACATTAAGTTGTGAAAGTAGTCTCTTTGTTTCGAACTATTGGGAGAAGGACAAACACATTGCTGGTTTGGGTCTTTTCACAGGATTTGTTTTCGCTAAATAGGAATATAGCCCTACGGAAGTGTAGCACATGTGTGCACTAGATAACTCATAATGACATACTGGCTTTGCAGAGGACATTCAGGTAAAGACCTATATATTTCCTGAGGCAAAATGGATGGATAACTGCTCTCATTTAAAACCCATTAAAGGGAGTGCAGGCAATTTATTTAATAAGAGGTTTTTTATCCTCCTTACATCTCGACAGCAATCGATAAGAAATATGCTCTGACAAAAGAAAGAACAAATCCAGTATTTGTGGATAATCCGTGTATCCACCGTCCAATTGTTTTTCTTTATTAAACACGTAAATGGAAGAGCGTTTGAGAGGCCTTTTTGCTTTTTACCTTACTAAATAAGGTCTAATGGTCTCTAATGGTCATTGGAGCGAGGGGCGGGGCAAAACTCTCGGAAGTGATTTCAAAATAAAAGCACTCGGAAACTCCATCATTCAGACTGCAAAAGCGGACAAAGTAAGCTAAATGTGTTTTTAAAAATGTAATAGCTGGCTGTAATAAAAATAACTGGAAGCAAGGACAAATCTGGAGTTCTGTCGGACAGACCTGAAGTCGCGGGTTTGATTAAGGACACATTTGGCGATGGGAGGCGTGTGGCGCAGTGGGTTAATGCGCTGTTCTTCGAATCAGAGGATAGGCCTGAGATTGACCCTTGTGGTACACCACATTTTTAATCTTTAAAACCATCCATCGTTAATGTTCAGAGAGGTTGTTCTGCAATGATTTAAAAATACTTTATTAAAACCCAATGAGGCCAATTACTCAGAGGTAAACTTATTATACCTTTTTACGAATCAATAACCTAAAGATGACCTAAAGACCGTGGCGGACTGGCCATCGGGACGTTCGGGACTAATCCCGATGGGCCAGTACTGAAGTGGGCCGGTCGGACGAGGTGGGCCGGTCGGATAAGTCACTAGCACCCCCCGTCGACAATTTACTAGCGGTATTTACTTGTGGTACCGAGGTGGGCCGGCGGTACCGAAGTGGGCCGGTCGAGAGTCCCGTGCTGATTTTAAGTCCCAGTCCGCCACTGCCTAAAGATTCCTATTATCATGAGCAGAAACAATTGTATCTACAACTATAGTAGGCTTAAGTTCAAGGGCTTTATTGTCATATACACAGATGCTATAGTGTAGATATGGCAATGAAAATCTTAAGTCCCTCGAACAATGCAACAAAAATGCAAAGTTGGAGAGGAGCTAGAGACACGGCGGCCATCTTAATCGCCATCTGCTGTAATGGAATTATTGCAAGATCAAACTCCATCGAACAAAAAAAGAAAATGTGCATTCAAGAAAGTTTGAAGCTGTTTATTTACAGAATATTCCAATAATATTGCTTCGGATGGGAGTCTGGAGATATATCTATTGTAAATAATTTCCCAATTAAGGATCAGTAACGTATCTGATCTGTTGAACAATATTTAAAGGAATGCTCCACTCATTAGATAATTAATCAAAACTTCAGTATTTAGTGAAACATTATGTTTAAACCATACCCTGACGAAATCAGCGATATTCCCCGGTAAATAATGATTTTATAGCTCTTTTTTTATCAAAACCTGTATATTCCGTCAGGCCGCTGCCATTTTGGCCATTTTCAGTAGTCACGTGATGGTCGTGACATCATCCATGCGTTCACTTTGTAAACACACGAAAACATGGCGGAGTATTTGAGTTCGGACTCGTCAGCCGAGGAAGAAGTTTTGAGCAATATGAAGAGATTGGATGGGGGAATTCAGCCATACAGGTTCGAGCCTACTTAGTACTACTTAGTAGATACAATGATTTTGATTACTAGATATGTATGCATGTAGTACCACCCTTGCTAGCGATTCCCTCTCTAGTTTAGCATAATCAGCCTCGTTGTCCCTGGCCCTAGAACCACGATTTTATGGGGCCGGAAAAACTGGGGGAAAATACCCACTAGCCGGTACTACGCTATATGGAAAGGCCACCAAAAACTGGCCTGGCCTGGACGATAAAGGACGTTTAAACGGGGCTACCCGCTGCAATGGAAATGCGCTATAACATACCTTATTCTTACTCCGAGCACTACTTCTGGTCCTCCGTCGCTTCACACTTGCAGAGGGCGATTTCTCAACTGGCCGAACTGGTGTCCTGGTCGGTGATGACACCAGAAAGACCGATGGCACTGCATCTCCATTAAGTAATGGTTGTTCAATAAATCCCATGTTATGTTTTATCATACTCTCAGAGTAGTCGTCCGGAAACTTGAAATGTTCGCTGCATACATGCGCCTGTGGATCTTTCGGTTCGGGCCGGCCACATTTCGCTAGCCACTGCCTCCGAACGTACTTCCTACGCTTACCTTTTGGCAACAGATGGAACCGAGCATTCCGTGGATTGTTCCTATCAGAATTGTGGCAATGTTTCGCGATACAATGAGGCATATTTGAAGAGAGTAACTACAGTAAATAACATCAACGTGTCCTCGAAACCAAACGCATGGTTTACGTCACGTCCGGTAAAATGGCGCCGCCCAGTGTGTTGATGTTATTTCGGTAATTAATCAGTTTAAAATCACTGATAATGTCATCGGATTAAAAAAAACAAAAAAAAAACTGGCAGAGACTGGTCTGTTTTATCGGATGATAATTATTTAAAAATGAGTGTCATGACCATACCATTCCTTTAATTACAAGTATTTTTTAAACAAATGACTAATATTTAATAAATGCAGAAATGACCTTGCTATAAACCAGTTGACATGGCACCTTCAATTTGTTGCTCATGTTTTGGTGTTTCTAAGTGTGATCTCTTCCTCGCTTCCCTTTAAGACACTCTTCCTCCCGCTCTTCTTGTTGTGACTCGACAGTTCTGTTAGGTTAAGTTGTGTTTTTTACTCTAGTCTTGTGTTGTGATCTTGTCACTTCCTGTTTTTATTTTGAAAGTAATCCTTCCCTCTCATTCCAGATCCCACATTTCCTGCCTTTGTGTGTTTCCCGCCCTTGAGATTGCTTGGCCCTGACCTGCCCTGTTTTCACCTGTGCCCATCCTCCTCACCTATAAATAGCCCTTGTGTTTCTTTGTTCCCTTGTCAGTTCGTTATGTTTCATGTGTGGGCGGTGGTGGCGAAGTCGATAGGGACTTGGCTTGGCAACTGGTCACCAGTGTGTGTGGTCACCAGTTCAAGTCCCGGCAAGACCAAGTGCTACTGAGGTGTCCCTGAGCAAGGCACCGTTCCCCACACTGCTCCCTGGGCGCCGTTCAAAATGGCAGCACACTGCTCCTAACACTAGGATGGGTCAAATGCAGAGAAACAATTTCCACACGAGGGATTAATAAAAGTCCATCTTATCTTATGTCGTGAGAACCTGGGCCTTTTGACTCCTGAAACTTTACTTTGAGAGATATACCTTTTCTCAAGTGAGTTTTGTTTTGATGTACGACTTAGTTTTTGTTATTAAACAACATTCTATTTGTGGACAACTGTCTCTGAGTCCTGCTTTTGGGTCCTATGTCTCAGTTCATAACACTTCTTCCTCTCTTTGCGTCAGATTTCATTATTTAATTTACGATATACTGTATGTTTATTAGTTATTTTATTATATGCTGCTGGAACAAAATCATTTCCCAATTAAGGATCAGTAACGTATCTGATCTGTTGAACGACATTTAATTACAATTATGTTTTAAGTTAGTCTGATTAATATTAGTCTGATTAATATTTAATTAATGCAGAAATGACCTTGCTATAAACAGATTAGCGCTTCGAGATTTGTCTTGGCAGATGAGAAGCGCTATATAAATTAAAATGTATTATTTATTATTATTATTAGAAGGCACCATCATGTCGTTGTTCATGTGTTGGTGTTTATAAGTGTCAGAGCGTCAGATGTATCTCATTTTCACACTGTTGCTATGTCATTTACGATATATGTTTATTAGTTATTTTATTATATGAACTTGTTTCCATGCTGCCGGAACAAAATAATTTCCCAATTTACGATCAGTAACGTATCTGATCTGTTGAACGACATTTAATTACAATTATGTTTTAAATGAGTCTGATTCATATTTAATAAATGCAGAAAGGATCTCAGATGGCACCATCATGCTGTTGCTCATGTTTTGATTTACTAAGTGTGATCTCTTCCACGCTTCCCTCTAAAACATTTTTCCTCCCGCTCTTCTTCCTCTCGTTGGGTTAGATTTAACTCGTCTTCCTCGTTTCTCTCCTTCCCATCATCCCCTTCCCCCTCTTCATCCGACCTTCGCCTACACATGACAACGATGTCTCCGTGGCATCCCCCCCTGCTCCCACTTGACATGTCATTTGTTACAATGCATCACACATGTCAGCCCACACACCCTCACACACACACACCACACACACACACACACACACACACACCACACACACACCACACACACACACACACACACACACACACACACACACACACACACACACACAGTACACACCAACACACACACAGTGACAGCTGTCAGTCAGGGTGTCATGGCAACGGCCTAGCAGCTCGACATGGTGAGAAATATGTCCGGCGTGAGGACACACCAGCGCTGTCTTCACATTGTTTTCACAAGCCTCTGACATACATATGAAACCTGAACAAGGTTCTGGATCTCTGCAGAGTTTTTTATATTGAAGACTTTCAGCAGTTGAACTTTTAACAATAAAAAAACGATAATTGATATCAGTATGTAGTGTCTCTACTTTAAAGAGTCCTCTCCTGCTGATGTTCAGGTGTATATCAGTATGTAGTGTCTCTACTTTAAAGAGTCCTCTCCTGCTGATGTTCAGGTGTATATCAGTATGTAGTGTCTCTACTTTAAAGAGTCCTCTCCTGCTAATGTTCAGGTGTATATCAGTATGTAGAGTCTCTACTTTAAAGAGTCCTCTCCTGCTGATGTTCAGGTGTATATCAGTATGTAGTGTCTCTACTTTAAAGAGTCCTCTCCGGCTGATGTTCAGGTGTATATCAGTATGTAGTGTCTCTACTTTAAAGAGTCCTCTCCTGCTGATGTTCAGGTGTATATCAGTATGTAGTGTCTCTACTTTAAAGAGTCCTCTCCTGCTGATGTTCAGGTGTATATCAGTATGTAGTGTCTCTACTTTAAAGAGTCCTCTCCTGCTAATGTTCAGGTGTATATCAGTATGTAGAGTCTCTACTTTAAAGAGTCCTCTCCTGCTGATGTTCAGGTGTATATCAGTATGTAGTGTCTCTACTTTAAAGAGTCCTCTCCGGCTGATGTTCAGGTGTATATCAGTATGTAGTGTCTCTACTTTAAAGAGTCCTCTCCTGCTGATGTTCAGGTGTATATCAGTATGTAGTGTCTCTACTTTAAAGAGTCCTCTCCTGCTGATGTTCAGGTGTATATCAGTATGTAGTGTCTCTACTTTAAAGAGTCCTCTCCTGCTGATGTTCAGGTGTATATCAGTATGTAGTGTCTCTACTTTAAAGAGTCCTCTCCTGCTGATGTTCAGGTGTATATCAGTATGTAGTGTCTCTACTGTGACATGTCTTCATGCTTTAATGTTCAAAAAGCTCTTTATTTTTCTCACACTGCCTGTGCTGCAGCACCTCTTTTCACCCTCTGTCTGAAACCAGAGCCCAGTCTGCTCTGATTGGTTAGCTGGCCGGCTCTGTTGTGATTGGTCAAGGGTCACAAGAAAATCACGTGTTGTTGCGCCAGCCAATAAGAGCGTGAGTGTTACATAGTGATGTCAACTATTTTATTATTATTATTTTATAACACAGGAGTCCAATGGAGGCGTTTCAGGCAGGGGGGGGGGGGGGGGGGGGGGTGGGGGTGTGTGGGAGAGAAACTCCCTCTGGAGGGAACACAGGGATTTGAGCTTTTGCAGACCGTTAACATGCACTAAAACCATATACAGTCTATGTCTATGACTAAAACCTATAGAACACACTACAGGAGAGGGAAAACCCCAAAAAGCAAAAGAGGCGCTGCGGCACAGGCAGTATGAGAAAAATGAAGAGCTTTCTGAACATTAAAGCATGGAGACATGAAGTAGAGACACTACATACTGATATGAAACTGAAGATGAGAATAATATGTCCCCTTTAAGACTGACCGTTATTTGACTTTTTCGAGTAAAAAACGGAAGAGCACTCGCCCCTGAAGAGAGAAAGCACAGGACATCAAAAAAATACTGAATATGATGCTGGAGGTTAGGGGTGTAAATGATTCCCAAATAGCAGAATATCAGTGGTGCAGATAAGATAAGATCCTTTACTGAAGTAAAAGTGTTTATATTGCACTGACATTTACTGACTGACTATTTAATAACTTAACTTCTCTATATGTGTCTTTATACCTGGCAAAGATCCAGGGCCAACGCATTTTACTTGACATGCATTTACGTGTGAATTAACATGAATTTATCCTGAGCAAAAAAACTAATCCAGATACAGACTGCTTTTTGAAACCAGGTGTAAGTGCTGTCATGTCCCCTCTCCTTTGTATGACATGATTAGGCTGATGGTACTGTGTCTGCAGTGAAACGCTGATCTCTCTTCCTTACTTTTCCTTCTCCCTCCTCGTCTCGGGTGATCATCCAATAATAGCCCAAATTATGCACAGCTGGTTTTAATCAACACTGTCTAATTAGCACCTCAAAGCCACCTGGGTGATTGCCAAAAAAGAAATGGAAAAAAAGCATGAGGGAAAACATGGCCGCCTGTTTCTCCATCGCAGCCGGGACTGAAGTGGCTTGTTAGGAAGTGTTTCTCCCACATCATCATCCCAACACTTCAGATTTAGAAAAGCCCCACAGCAGCGAGGGATGACCTCGGAAGATACACTTTTTATGAGTATGCAGTATGGGGGGACAATTCTTAGCTTGTTTTACAATTTCACATTAAAAGCACTTCTTAAAGCCCCTGTCACACTGTCCCGAAATTGACACCCGATGGACACACGATAAAGGAAATGTTCAAATTCGGCTGTGATCGTAGCAACATCGGGCCATTCGTGAGGGCATCTAAGCCATCGTATGACCGCCGGTGGAGTTTCTCAGGCTCCGGCAGGAACTTTGTGAGCGGCAACTTCGTAAGGCACTCGTGAAGGCATCTTGTCAAATCGTGTCATCTTCGTGTTATCATCGGTGCATTCGCCCTCACTCTGATCGGGGCGATTGCCCGATGGCACCGATGATAACAAGATGCCCTCACGATGGCCTTACGAAGGGCAACATTCACACACGAATTCAACACGAACATGAACCTTCGCAAGGTCCTTCGGCTATTTTTTGGCATGCCAAAGATTTTGCCACCGCTCACGAAGTTGCTGCCGGAGCCTGAGAAACTCCACCGGCGGTCATACGATGGCTTAAGATGCCCTCACGAATGGCCCGATGTTGCTACGATCACAGCCGAATTATCACAGCCTTTATCGTGTGTCCATCGGGTTGTTTTATTGCACAACAAAATCATGTAAACATATTATGTAAATAACCCAATTTGTGTTCTGTGAAACTAAAAAGGATATAAATATTATTTTGAAGGAGAGTTGACAGGAAGTTGTTGTTGCTATGGAAACAACATTACGGAGAAAACGTAATATTTTCTACATATAAAGACGGATAAAGTAAAGAACAAAGTCTGAAGATATCAGTACAGTATCATAGTACTGTAACATAATTGTTTTTGGTACTTTCATTGCAGTTGTATGTCTTAAATGTAATGTAAATGTTGCCTTCGTGTGTGGTTCGGGGCCATCTTCGTGCGAAATTCACAATTCCATATTCGTGTGTCCATCGGGTGTCAATTTCGGGACAGTGTGACAGGGGCTTAAAGATTGACAAAAACTACGTTCACATCAAAACTAATCAATTTATATTCGAGAGAATCATTTTTTTAAAGTTATCCAAAACGTATTATAATAATATTTCACATCATTCATCCACATATAATAATATCATACAAATGAGGCAGACAATCACAATTACAGCTGATCAGATTAACATTACATAATTCTCTATTCAAACTATTTGGGACAATGTTTGAAATGTGTATGCAGATATATATATATATATTATGTAAACTCTTGAACTCTAACTGAATCATTG